ACCAAAGTGTGACAATTAAATTTCTATTTCAAAAAAATTATTAGCTATTAATGTCAATAAATTATGATACTGCAGTACAAGACAAATGAGATTTCAAATTCAGAATTTTGCTCGTTCCATTTTTCACCAGCAACTTTACCAAAGCAGAAGCAGTCAAAAAACAAAATATCAAAATATATCAACACTTCAAACAGTTACGTTAAGAATCTATTATAGGATAAAGCAATAATTGTGGGGGTTCATAGGAAGGAGGGGCGAAGGAGAGAGGGCCCAAAACTTCAAGATATGAAAGCTTTACTGTTCATACATTCTAGAGAAATCTGCTACATGTCAATTATTTCAAATATGTCAAGTATTTCAAATTATTTACTTCAATTCAAAAACTGCAGTTCAACCCTGTAGAGCGACTAGAGATATATTTAGCACACTACCCAATTATTCAGTGCTTTTTTAAATGAGTCCTGAACTTTGTTTTCATCAGATTCCAATTATATCCTTTGACCTTAGTCATGTTTCAATTTGATTTGGTGCTCTAAACTGACAGCTTTTTGCCTGTTTCCAATATTTTCATTAAGTGTTAGAAGAGAATGTAGACATACATTTTTCATACCCATTTGATTTTCCCTCCAGATTGCTTGCAGCTGGGTTAGCTTTCAATTCCTGGAGATTCCAGGACAATCCAGGCAGGTTGGCAATCTAACAACAATACAGAATCTACCACGTTCAAATTATTTTCAGGAATCCTCTAGCTAATCCAAGAAAATTTGATAAGAAGCCCTTTGCATACATTTACAAGTTATTGTTTTTATTTCACTTGTAGAGCAACTCATTTACCCAGTTCTGTTCAGCTGCAAATTCCTCCTCCTCCCCACCAGAGCTCTTCAGCTGCTTCACCAGGCTAATCTGCAACTTCTGTTCAACTGCACCCCCCCACCCCCAGCAACTTCAGTGGTCAAAAGTTTCAAAAACAATGATCTGGGCAAAACTGGGAGTGTAGGTAAGAGAGCTCACTGAGCCAAATGTTCTCCATTGTACTTGATGATTCTGACAAAGTTGAAATGAGTATTCAGGTCCTATACACAAAACTAAAAACATTAGGGGGAAGAAACACCAATCCAACCCCAAAGGCCAACTGCATCTGACTGCAATGATCAAACAAGTGAAATGGGTGCTCATTTGCCATCATGCTGGGTATTTTTCGCAAGCCCCCTCCCCAAAATTCTTTAGTTATGAGCTTCTATCTGATAGACAGTTTCAGGCCAAACCCCATCCATTGTTTTTTAAAAGTCAATTTTCCTTATGCCCCATCGCTAACAGATCCTTCAAAGCATTCCAGGATCTGGGATCCAAACTAAATCGCTATTCTCTTGGGCCAAACCCTGTCTGTGTACAGCGTTTCACTGAAATCCATATCTTAATTTTTGAATTATATTGTCTACAGATAGACTGAAATAGGAGTGAAAATATTATCTCCACCCACCTTTAGTGACAAAGGTAACATGGGAAATGTATTACATGGTATGATACAATGTATAATACTTACAGTAACTAATTTTAATGTCACGAATAAAATATCCTCAACTAATCTAGATAAATACAGATGAATTCATAGAAATTGATTGCAAAGTTTAGTAAACAACCCTTTCCTTTTGTATCATGCAGTTACTAAAATAGAACGTTCTACATTATACTGTTTCCAATACTTGAACCCTCCCTTCCATCTATCTCAGTATTTCTGCTATTTTTATAGTATTTCCTCACAGATGGGACTTAAGGCTCATTGTCAATGAGTTTCAAGAGGGCTGAACGATTATTGATGTTCAAGCAAATTACCACAAGCTGGAAAATAAACAGTAAATTTTTTTTCAGCTCATTTGACAACGTATGCACTGGAGTATATAGTTCACTTAATTAAGTAGTTTCTTGTAACAGACTATTTTTCAAAGTAAGAAACCACCCACAGATAGCAGATGCAGAAGACAAACTATGGAAACTAAACAAATATATTGGAGGTCTTCAAGATGGGAGCACTTTTTGATGAGATCTGCTTTGCTTAAACTAATTTAGCTTTGCTTAACTAAAGGCAGATCCTACCATATTTTACTGGCATCATAAAGGGCAACATTCACAATACACAGACTGGTACTACTGAATGAGAAGTGCGTTATTAGCAAGATTACAGTAGAATTTAAAAATTGTGTCAAACCTGTGCTGCTTTTAAATATTTTCGTATTAAGTTTAAGTAGAGTAGGTTTGGAATAACTTTAAATCAACAACCCTACATGGAGGCTGTAACAGCCATTCAGGTAATCATGCCAAGTCCTCTCAAAGATGTTGTGTCTAAAAAAAAGAGATACAGTAATTAGGAAGCTGAATGGATAATGGTGATTTTATGAAGTTTGATGGGTCAGTTGATTGGTTCAGACAAAGCTAGGTGATCGTTTTGATATTTTAGAGTTAACTACTAGAATGCCAGGAATATTTTAGGGACAAATAAAATATTTTAGAAAAATAAGTCTGGACAAATGCATATGAAGGTGATGCAAGAAACATGAAACTGCTCAGTTTTAGAAATAATTCACATGACAATACTGGTTGCTATGCTATAAGGAGGATGTAATTAAACTGGAAAGGGTGCAAAAAATATTTACAAGAATGTTACTGAGACTGGAGGGTTCGAGCTATAAGGAGAGGCAGGCCAGACTGAGACTTTTTCCACTGGAGTGTCAGAGGCTGAGGGGTGACCTTATACAGGTTTATAAAATCATGAAGAGCATAGATAAAGGTGAATAGCCAAAGTCTTTTCCCCAGGGTATGGAAGTCAAAAACTAGATGGCAGGGTTTAAGGTGAGAGGGGAAAGATTTAAAAAGGCTCCTTAGGGGCAACTTTTTCACATAGTGGGTGGTGCATATATGGAACAAGCTGCCAGAGGCAGCGATAGAGGGGAGTACAATTACAGCATTTAAAAGACATTTGGACAGATACACGAATAGGAAAGATTTAAGAGGGATATGGGACAACTGCAGGCAAATGGAACTAGTTCAGTTTACGAGACCTGGTCGGCATGGACAAGAGGTTTGTTTCTGTGCTATTTTACTCTGACTCTATAATTTGAGTATTATGGTGTGACAGGTGTCATATTATTTCTTATGAGTGAAAATGCGAGACGTTATCCCTTAACTTGGGAAGCTAGGAAAACAACGTAAGTTCTTAAAGGTACAGTGACTACTGATATAGTGGATTTAGTGGAGACAGTGAATGCGATTTTTGTGAATATTTTAAGTGAGATTCCATACAACGGGCCTACCCCATATAAAATCATGTAGATTATGACTCATTTTAATAATACTTCAAAAGTAAAAGTGAGGAAATGTAATGGATTATTAACCCGACTTGAAACAAAATCCCAAAACAAAGTGAGTGGTTACAAGTCTTCAACTGCGTGATTGTTGGAGGAGAAAGAAATACATGCAAAAAAAATCAACAGGCATCCAGGAGGAGAGGCATCTTACAATATAACGCTTTATTCAGAATATGGAGGCTTCTGAATATTTGATTATTGGTACTTGAAGAAAGAAAAGTGAATCTATTAACTATACAGTAATGAGTGTTAAATGCAGGCAAACAGTCAGCATCAATGAAGGATTCGCCTGCACCCCCATAGATAAAGTCAACGATGGTTAAGTTAGGGGATGCTCAAATAGCTATAAAGACTACCTCTAATTATATTTGACATCACCTGGCTTTTTGGATGGTAACACACCAGGAGCAGGCAAAGGGAATACAAACCACTCAATTATTTTTTTCTCCAAAGCTCCCCACAATATTTAAAATCTGAAATAAGACTTCAGACATTTTTCATTGCCAGAGAGGTTGTATGGCAAGTAATTAAGAGTTATACTACTGTATTAATAATTCACGTACACTTCAATGAAGAAGCCCAAATTGAACTGAAGTATTAAGTTGGCACATATTATAACTTCACACCCATCGTTTATTTCAAAGCAGATACTGAGCTAGCAGTGTTGCTAAACATTTGAAGCAGGGAAAATCAGACAGTGCTTTCCTGATTTGCACATCTTACTACATGTATGGATGCCAAAAGTTGTGATCCAATTCAATCCTTAACAAAAGTGTGTGCTGATAGCCTTACATTTGTATTAACAGAAAACTAAAACTGATGAAATAGTTGACAAAAGATAAATGACAGAATGACATTTTCTGTAAAATAGTAAAAGTAGCTATAAGCTCAAGTTTGAAAGTACAGGAGAGGGAGGTGGGAAGGAAATAATATCTATGTATAAAAAGAGAATGTACAAGGAATTCCTTACCACTCAGTTTTAAAGATTTTGAACACAGTCATGAATAACTAAAATTGATTTAAAACAGAACTATTTACTTGAAGATGGATGTTAAACTATAGATAGAAAAAACAGCCAGTATAAAGCTCAAGATGATCAAGCAAAGGAACATAATTGGCCTATTTTACTCTTCTGGCATGTTCAACCATTCAATGAGATTGCATCTAACTTGCACGTTAATCCCTTATGCTCATTTTTGACCTCTAATAATTAAAAAAAATCTGAAGGGCCACTGGACTTGAAACGTTAACTTTGCTTTCTCTACGCAGATGCTGCCAGACTGGCTGAAATTTTCCAGCAATTTCCATTTGTTTCTGATTTCCAGCTTCCACAGCTCATTAATTGTGCAAACATTGTCATTTGTAAAGCAGTTTCAAACTTCTGCTTTGCTTTGCATACAGAAATGACTTTTGAATTGCCTCCTGAAAAGTCTGACACTGATTTTTAGACTGTGCCTAGTCCTAGCTTCCACAACTGGCAGAAATAGTTTATTTTCACCTAATCCATCCGTTTCTCTTAAACCTTTTTCTAATCACATGTTCAGAGAGGTTAATACACATCTCTGGAGCAGGTCAGACTTAAACTCTGGTCTTCCAGTCCAGGGATACAGACACAACCACAGTGCTTTAAGAGGGCCCCAAAAAATGGAACACTTCACAAACTTGCACGTCATCCTTGCACAGAGACCATACTAATCTTCTCTGTATTGTTCCAATTTTAGTATATATTCTGAAGCAAGCACTGCCTCTCCCTTCAAATTGTCCCTAAACCACCTAAATTCCAAATATTATAGTGGAAATCTCCACTGCATTCCCTACAAAGTCAAGACATCCTAATGTGTGCTTCTAAACTGTTCATTGTACTCCATGTGTCATCCAACAAAGATTTTGTATAGCTGAACCATGAAACAGTCTTCTGGATACAAAACCAGTATTTCATTAGCCTTTGGTAATTTATGTACCTGTTCACATTAACTGAATGATCTATGCACCTGGCGATTCAATGGTCCCCTTGGACCACCAGTGTCTAGTCTTTCGTCCTTTTGAAAGCACCCTGTTCCATCCCTCAAGTCCAAAGTAGTTACTTCATTTACTTCCAAGAAAAGACATTCACCACAATTTGGCCATTCATTTGATCTAACAGTATTGTTTCGCAATTTTATTCCTCCATCAATAATGCTTAAAGTGGTGCTTTGTTAGCGTTATATGTAAACTTAGATGATGGAACAGGAAGCCACATATCCAAGTCAACACTAAACATAGTTAATAGCAAAGATTCCAAATCAAGACTTTCAGGACACCATACGTAACAAACAGTCAATTAATTAGGGATAATGGACATGTAATCTATTTCGTGACACTGAGCAATTTCCTAATTAGGAAAATTATTTTGTCCTCAATACCTTGAGCTAACAAGCTCTTCAGACAAACCTGACCAAACATTTTCTGGCAGTCCATATAAGTTACATCCGTGGACATTCCCTGATCAATAGATCAGTCACTTCTTCAACAGAATTTAATGAGGCATGACCTACTCTTTGCAAATCCAGCTGTCTCTCTCTGATCCGTCACATTCTTAATTATCAACTTAATTATCGTAATTTTGTACAATAATAGATGTTTGGCTATTTGGTAAAATACTTTGATTTCTTACTGTTAGCTTTCTAAAGCAGTTAAGCGGAATGCACAATTTTCCAATCTAATGCAACAGCTCCTGAATCAAAAGAACTTTGGGAGACTGTTAGGGCATCTTTGATCTTCTCAGCAACTTTATTTACAACATCAATATGGATCTCCTTTGCTTTTGTGAGGGTTGCTACCTTTTAAAGCCGTTATTTTCTTGGTTATGTTATTTTGGTCACACTAATTTTGATGAGTCACAATTCTGGATCCAATCTTAGTTTGCTCTGGATGTCCAACACACACTCCTCAACCTCAAACAGTGAATAATTACTTTGCCCATATTTAACATTTCTGGCATTTCCTTACCGTTGGAGCAAAACTAGTAGTTTAATGGGGCCACACTTCTCCTGACCATATTTTTTGCATTCAACTGTGTTGATTTTGATATCCCTCGTACGCAATTTCCACACTCCACTTTTGTAACTATTACTACATCACATTTTGCTGTGCTTTTCAGCTCTCTCATGAGATTCTGCTCAATTTTGTACTTTAGTTTTACTGATGCCTCTTACTCACGTTCTTGTTGGTTCTAGAAGTGATTGAAGACAATCCCAAAGGCACATGTGAAACTGACTACTTTTCTAGCATGTGAAGTTAATAGCTCCATCAAAACCACATTGTTTTTACATGCTGCCCAGTCTTTACATTTATATAATCTTTCATTTCACAGCTGCTAATGCTGGTCTGCACACCATATCATCAGAAACCTTAAGGTAAATGTGAAGTGCTGCATTTTGGAAAGGCAAATCAGGGCAGGACTTACACACTTGTATGGGTGGAAGTCAGAAACAGGAAAGGAGCAGTCTGTTATAGGGAATTTTCTATAGACCCCCTCCAATAGCAATAGAGACACTAAGGATCAGACTGGGGGCAGATTGTGGAAAGGTGCAGAAATAATAGGGTTGTTGTCATGGGTGACTTCAAATTCCCTAATATAGACTGGAACCTCCTAAGTGCAAATAGTTTGGATGGAGCAGATTTTGTCAGGTGTGCCCAGGAAGGATTTCTGACTCAATATGTAGATAGGCCGACTAGAGGGGAGGCCACATTAGATTTGATGCTTGGCAATGAATCAGGCCAGGTGTCAGATCTCTCAGTGGGATAGCATTTCGGTGATAGTGATCACAACTCCCTGACCTTTACTATAGTCATGGAGAGGGATAAGAGCAGAGGGAATGGGAAAGTATTTAAATGGTGGTTGGGGGGGGGGGAGGGGGGGGGCGGAGAGAAGGATGGGGAATTACAATGCTATTAGGCAAGAAGTGCGGAGTGTAAATTGGGAATAGATGTTCTCAGGGAAATGCACGACAGAAATGTGGAAGTTGTTCAGGGAGCACTTGCTATGAGTACTGGATAGGTTTGTCCCACTGAGACAAAGAAGGGATGGTAAGGTGAAGGAGCCTTGGATGGCAAGACATGTGGAACAGCTAGTCAAGAGGAAGAAGGAAGCTTAAGGTTGAGGAAGCCAGGATCGGACAGGGCTCTAGAAGGCTACGAGGTAGCCGGGAAAGAACTGAAGATTGGACTTAGGAGATCTAGAAGCGGGTATGAAAAAGCCTTGATGGGTAGGATCAAGGAAAACCGCAAGGTGTTCTATGCTTATGTGAGGAACAAGAGGACGACCAGAGTAACGGTAGGGCCAATCAGGGATAGTGGAGGAAACTTGTGCGCAGAGTCAGAGGTGGTAGGGGAGGTCCTTAATGAATATTTTGCTTCAGTATTCACCTGTGAGAGGGACCTTGACGTTTGGGAGGACAGCATGAAACAGGCAGATATGCTTGAACAGGTTGATGTTAGGAAGGAGAATGTGCTAGAAATTTTGAAAACACGAGGATCGGTAAGTCTCCTGGACCAGACGGGATATACCTAAGGTTACTACGGGAAGCAAGGGAAGAGATTGCTGCCCCTTTGGCGATGATCTTTGTTTCCTCACTGTCCACTGAAGTAGGACCAGATGATTGGAGGGTGGCAAATGTCATTCCCTTGTTCAAGGAAGGGAATAGGGATAATCCTGGGAATTACAGACCGTAAGTCTTACTTCTGTGGTGGGCAAGTTATTGGACAGGATTCTGAGAGATAGTATTTATGATTATTTGGAAAAGCACAGTTTGATTAGAAATAGGCAGCATGGCTTTGAGGGGGGCAGGTCATGCCTCACAAGACTTATTGAATTCTTTGAGGATGTGACAAAACACACCGATGAAGGCAGAGTAGTAGATGTGGTGTATATGGATTTTAGCAAGTCATTTGATAAGGTTCCCCATGATAGGCTCATTCAGAAATTAAGGAGGCATGGGATTCAGGGAAATTTGGCTGTCTGGATACAAAACTGGCTGTCCAATAGAAGACAGAGGGTGGTAGTAGATGGAAAGTATTCAGCCTGGAGCTCAATGACCAGTAGTGTTCCACAGGGATCTGTTCTGGGATGTCTGCTCTTTGTGATCTTTATAGATGACTTGGATAAAGTAATGGAAGGGTGGGTTAGTAATCTTGCTGATGACACAAAGGTTGGAGGAGTTGTGGATAGCATGGAGGGCTGTTGTAGTTTGCAACGGGACATTGACAGGATGCAGAGCTGGGCAGAGAAGTGGCAAATGGAATTCAACCCAGAAAAGTGCGAAGTGATTCACTTTGGAAGGTCGAATTTGAATGCTGAATACAGGGTTAATGGCAGGATTCTCGGCAGTGTGGAGGAACAGATGGATCTTGGGGTCCACATCCATAGATCCCTCAAAGTTGCTACCCAAGTTGATAGGTTGTAAAGAAGGCGTATGGTGTATTGGCTTTCACTGGCAGAGGAATTGAGTTTAACAGCCGCGAGGTTATGCTGCAGCTCTATAAAACTCTGGTTAGACCACACCTGGAATAGTGTGTTCAGTTCTGGTCGCCTCATTATAGGAAAGATGTGGAAGCTTTGGAGAGGGGGCAGAGATTTACCAGGATGCTGCCTGGACTGGAGGGCAGATCTTATGAGGAAAGGTTGAGGGAGCTAGGGCTTTTTTCATTGGAGCGAAGAAGGATGGGAGGTGACTTGATAGAGGTGTACAAGATGATGAGAGGCATAGATAGAGTGGATAGCCAGAGACTTTTCTCTGGGCAGAGATGGCTATTACGAGGGGGCATAATTTTAAGGTGATTGGAGGAAGATATAGGGCAGATGTCAGAGGTAGGTTCTTTACACAGATAGTGGTGGGTGCATGGAATGCGCTGCCGAGTGGTAGTGGAGTCGGATACATTAGAGACATTTAAGCGATATTTCTTGGATAGGCACATGGAGGATTGTATAACGTAGGGGATGCAGGGTAGTTTGATCTTAGTAGTATAATAGGTCAGCACAACACTGTGGGCCGAAGGGCCTGCACTATGCTGTACTTTTCTATGTTCTTTGTTCTATTAATGGTAAGGTCCTGGGGAGTGTTACTGAACAAAGAGACATCGGAGTGCAGTTTCATAGTTCCTTGAAAGTCGAGCCACAGGTAGATAGGATAGTGAAGCGGCATTTGGTATGCTTGCTTTTATTGGTCAGGAGTTGGGAGGTCAAGTTGCAACTATACAGGACATCAGAATACCGCATGCAATTCTGATCTCCCTGCTCGCAGGAGGAGGTTGTGAAACCTGAAAGGGTTCAGAAAAGATTTACAACGATGTTGCCAGGGTTGGAGGGTTTGATCTGTAGGGAGAGGCTGAATTGACTGAGGCTAGTTTCCCTGGAGTATCGGAGGCCAAGGGGTGACCTTATAGAGGTTTATAAAATCATGAGGGGCATGGATAGGGTAAATAGACAGGCCTTTTCACTGGTTTTGAGGGGGGGGGGGGTGGAGGAGGAGTCCAAAACTAGAGGGCATAGGTTTAAGGTGAGAGGGGAACGATTTAAAAAGGAACTAAGGGGCAACTTTTTCTTCGCGGAGGGCAGTGCGGGAATCAGCTGCCAGAGGTGGTTTGATGGAGGCTGGTACAGTTACAACATTTAAAAAGGCATCCGGATGGGTATATGAATAGGAAGGGTTTAGAGGAACATAGGCCAGTTGCTGGCAAATGGGATCAGATTTATTTAGGATAT